ACATTTAAAATTAGGTAAACAACCACTTGATTATCACAAGTACATTTACTTTAATTTGTAGTTTGTAGTTAAAAAATTAGTTCAAATTCCATACCCAAGTCACCAGTTCCAGTGTTCATACTGATATCATAAGCCACACCTACTGACCCCTCCCCCTCATAATCCTCCTTTACAAAGAAACACACTCCTTGATTCTGATTGGACGACCAGTTCAACTTATGACCAAATATGGGCTCGTCCAGTAAAACTGGAGTCCATCCAGTACTGTACTCCATCCAAAGAACAATCCCATGACAGGAAGTGGGTGTGGTCAACGACCAACTAATTAAAATAAAGAAAAATACAATATTAATTAATTAAAATATTGTACATGTACATGTATACATTAGCGGGTCCTATACCTTCCTTTCTCTCTCAATATTGTGTCTTTCGGAACCGGTGATGTAAAGTCAAATTTCATTAGTGTCTGGACCCCGCTGAGGGTTAGGTGGGATATTCCCACAGTGAACTCAGGGGGCAAGGACTTATTAATATCAGGAATACTTTCCATTACCTAATGAATATTAATTAATAATTAATTAATTAATCTATTAATTACTGCATCATCACATGGTGTTAAATAAAATTCTTTAACTTTTCCAAGAGAATGTTTCAATAGATGAAGGTTTTCAAATTTAACTGTAAACAAAAACAACAAATAACTAACTAAATAAGTACATGTACATATTAAATTAATTAATTACAAGAGTACATGTACATGTTAATTACCGGCTATTCCCATTAAGTGGGCGGAGCCTGGAGTTATTGCACAATCAGTTGACAGAAGAGGATCTAGTGCAGTCCGTACATACCAGAAGTAGAGAGGGTGCCATGGTAACGTCATCAAAACAAAGAATGGTTCAGCTAACAGGACATCAATAGAATGTCCAATTAAGTAAGTGGGCGTGATGTCATTAGGATCAACAGACAATAAACTAATGGAGTCTGAGAGACTCAAGTTTTGAGAGTCTTGAGTACTGTGACCCTGTACCATAGTACAGGGACTTTGGCCTGATTTTAGACCAATATTAGTATTATTGATAATGTTTGTATAGTTAAAAGGAGGAAGACTGATGGTATGTGTGTTGCTGTTGGTTGTTACAACATGTCCTCATATGAGGAAGAGAGAGGATACAAGTACTGCTCCAATGACTGTATAGTGAATCACTGCAGGTAGGGAGGAGAGTATTGATTATTATTATTATTATTATTAATAGGGCAGTGTTTAATGAGTGGGTGTCAGGAAGAATAACTAATCTACTTATCACATACTTCACATACACACACCAATAACTAACTATTGTATTATATACATTATACTCATTACTCTCTGTTACCATCAGTTCATCACTGTTACTATTATTATAGACGTTGCCTTGTTACTATTATTAGATACTCCATTATACTACTGATAATTTCATTAGTAATTTACCGGTATTATTGCTATTATTTTTATTGCTAATTGCTGTGCTTTTACTATTATTATTAATTTTGCTGCTATTTTATTATTATTATTATCATCATTATTATTATTATTACTATTTCTATTATTATGCTGCTTTAATTTGCTGTTGCTGGTATATTAGATACTGGGCTATTATTAGTTTACATTATTATTTTTACGCTGATTTGTGGTTATAATCTTTTAAAAATAAACAAACATGATTGCCTACTGTCAGCGGAATCAGAGCAATAACTACAACACATTCTACACACTCTTTTCTTCTTGATGTCACCATTAGCCCATTCATTAAAGTCAGGAAGGCTGCTGTATTTGTGGTAGTTGACTTTAATAAAATAAAATTAATGTGCATTTTTAATACAAATAAAAGATTACCCCAGTAGAGCACAAAAACAGCATTTGAATCTATATAAATGTCCTTATGTAAAAAGCTACAATTCTGAGCATTTGATTGCTTTGTATCCTCATTAGTGACTGTGTTACTATTTTTAGATGCTTAGCTATGTTACTATTATTAGACACATACCTATTGATACTTTCATTGTTAGTTTAACTGCATAAGATTATCATAACATTCACATGTAGTGTTCTTTTGCTTTGTTTCAAGACTAGATCTAGTTGGATTTATTGTTCATTAATGATTATATGGATAATAGGTATTCCTAGAGTATAGAGTACACTGGTAATAATAATAATAATAATAAAGGGTATCATATAATCATTTGTAGAGTCCACAGTTGTTTACCACACTGAGGTATACATCTACCTAGTACTTTAATATATTCATAGTTAATGGATTATCATAACACAATAGATCTATATCGACCTCACCTTCAACTACAGTGACCTTATACTAGTGATTGACCTGTTGCTATAGCTCTACATTTATCATTCCTAAAACTAAAACTCAAACAACCACGATGGCTGATGCCGAGTAAGTATTTAGATCTATTGTTTTTAAAATGTTGTTATTTCACTAATTTTAGGCAAGGTTCAACTTTAAAGCAAACTTCAAAGAGTAAGTCCAAATTAACACTGTGACAATTGATATTCATATTATTAAAAATATAGATTGCTGCACAAAAAGTACAAAATGGTTCTTTCCATTTTGTTTCTTTTTCTTTAATTGTATTACCTGCCAATGGATACGACCAAAAAGGGAGGGAGAAAAGTGCTGTGATTATGACAACAAATGCTGCGAGGAGGAGTTCAAAAAAGCTCGTTGCTGTGCCATGCGTAGTTGCAACAAGTGTAAAGGTTCTGTCTGGATTGGTGGCTGCTATGAGAAAGGTTACCTTTTTAAGAAAGATTATTTATTTGGCTGTTGTCAAATTTATTGTGGCTGCTTCATAATGATTATATCTATTGCAGCAGTTGCCATCAACATATTTCCTCTGGTTATGTTCATTGTTGGTTGGGCAACATGTAGAGAAGGCACTGAATATGAAATATCTAAATTATGCTATACACTGTACTTCAATATAACTGAAACAAAGTTGCCACCACTTGTATTGAGAAATGCTGAAGGTGAGTTTTCATTTTGATTTTATGGTTTAATTCTTATAGTATAAGCATATGTAATGAAGTAATATAATATTATAATACTACTATCCCTTTATACTAGATAACAATGTTAATAATAGCGATACTAAAGTAGCAGTTCAAGACTTCATTGATGTCAGTAAGATATCATTGTTATTCTCAACAACAGCTAATGCAGTATCTCACGTATTGTTCATATGGGCACTGTGGTGCCTGTATGTTAAACACTATAAAAGTTTTAATAAAAATTGCTTTTTGAAAATTCAAAACTTCTCAAAAAACTGAGCTGTGACACTAAAAATGAAAAAGGTGAACTGCCATTGGATCCTTTTAATGACAAAACTGAAGGCCAATGCTTGATAAAAGACATTGTGTTGTTAACATGATGTTACTATAGCAATAGTAATATTCATCACTCTTTTGATGTATGACTTCTAAAGTAACTTAACATTATTCATGAAATGCATTTTATGATTCTTGATGACATGATATTACCATAACAACAAAAACACACTTAATATAAATGTAGATCTAATACAAATCAGAGCAAAATTACATGCTTTTGTAGGTCTATATGCTTTGGTATATGCGTTGAAGTATATCAGCCTACTTGTCAAAGTATATTAGCTACTGATGAGTACAAACACATTAAGAAACTAATATAAAAACATGTAGACTACCAGTATTTACTACCTACATAATACCAAATGTACCCTTGGTATAGTGCACAAACTGCACATGGCAATCTTTGAACAAAGGCTGTAAATATATTTTTTTATTCATCACTATAATACCGACATTCACATCACATCATTGCATCTACTAGGTTGTATAGTTTGCTTCATAGGGCATACAGATCTATACACTCATTACGCTCTTGAATCCATGTAGTTGTTTACCATAAAGTCATGACAGATCTGATAAGTAAATCTAGATCAAAATTCATAGTTAGTGGATTATCTTAATAACACAATCTATGCTATCACATTTCAACCTTACACCATGCACACCCCCTTGTAATAGCTTGTTTTGCTGTTGCTTATAGCTGCATTGCTGTATTAGCCTAGCTCACTTCATTTATCAACTTGAACTATATCTAACTAATGACCACAATGGCTAGGTAAGAATGTACTTTTTTGTTTAAAATTATCATTAATGCTGTGCAATCTAGTGTAAAAACATGTTGCAGTAAATGTCTAGGTAAGACAACAATAAAACATTGCACAAGACCTTACAAATCATTCTTTAGAAGTACTTGTATGTCTATTTCAAATAGCAGCAGGTTTATGCTGTATCATACATTGTAAGATAAATTTTACATTTTACATAGCTTCACATTAATTTTGCAGGCAATTACTGTTGCACAAAACAACGGGTCTTTCAATTTTTGTTCTTTCTCATAAATTTATTTACCTGCCAATGGATACGACCAAAAAGAAAAGGTGAAAAGTGTTGCTGGGATCGTACATCTGTTGACAGTAAGAAAGCCTGCAGCTGCTTTACAACTTTTTGTGGCTGTGTCATGATTGGCATGTCTTTTCTTGCCATGCTCATCAACATGTTTCCTCTGGCTATGTTCATTGCTGGTTGGAGTACATGTCAAAATGGCAGTGCATATAAAATATCTGAATTATGCTATACACTGCATTTCGATTATGCCCATAGTACAAATAATAATGAGTTTCCTGAGCTTGTCTTGAGAGAGTATAAACCAGGTAAGATAATTATGCAAAAACTTTTTCTAAATATTCAAATAATAATGACACATACTGTTATTTTGGTTCTTCTACTTTATAGAGAATGATGTGAATAATAGTGATACTAAACATTTGATTCAAGAGTTTGTTGATCTCAGTAAGATATCATTGTTATTCTCAACAACAGCTAATGCAGTATCTCACGTATTGTTCATATGGGCACTGTGGTGTTTATTCTGGAAACATTATGAAAGTGTTAATAAAGAATGCTTGCTGAGAAGTCATAACTTCATTAAAAGACTAAGCTGTGCTGCTGGAACAGAAGATGAATTTCCATTAGATCCTTTCAATGATGAAATTGAAGAAGGTGATCTAATGGAAATAAATACAGCAAAACAAGTCAAAGAACTTTATGAAAAGAAAAATGCTAATAGATTCTTTAGTAAAGAAGTTGAGCGTACTAATACACCACTGCAAGGTGAACGATTGTGCCATTATGTAACATGGTTCATCATTGGGATAATACTATACATCATCACTGTTGGAGTATTCTTTCATCTTTACTACGAACAAAATAAGCATAGATCAATCAATAAAGAATTTAAATTGGAAATTTCTGCTCTTGTATTGTATGCTTATTCATTGTTTCAAGTTTTGGTCAGTTGCTTCATATTCTCAAAGTTGATGTATGGAATACAGAGAAGATGTGAAGAATTAGAACTATTTGTGTATCATATTAATGAAGAGTATCGTGATGAAAATCATTATATTGAGACTCATACAGAAGATACTGAGGAACAAGAAGATAATACTCATACATGTAGTACTCAAACAGAAATAAAAATGCAAAATATGGGAGATGATCTTGACAAAATTGCGAAAGACAAAGAGAATCTCAAAGAATGTGACAGACATTTCATTGATACAGCAGTATCCACACTTAGCTGGCTTCAGTTATGGTTCCTACTCCACTGGATACTCCATATAATATCAACCTTTATGATAATGTCACTACTGATTGATGCTATTGCACTTCACGTTAAATCAAGAATATCTCACATTGAGCATGGGGTTGGGTTTCATCCTGGAGAGATTGGGTTTCTCTTCATGTTCAGTGTACTACATTGCTTCTTTCTGTTTTATCCTTGCTTGAGAGCTGCTAGTGTTACCAGGACAAGACAACGTGTTATAAGAAAGATCAGTGAAAAAGCAAGCAATGAATATAAGTATATTCCAAATAAGGTTATGCAGGAATTCATTGAGTCTATGAAGAGAAGGAAGTTTAGTTTCAGGTTGCGTATATTGTGTGCTAGAATTCCTTTTAATCTAAACATAGCTTATGTATCTATCGCCTTTGGTTTTGTTGGTGTAATAGTTTCTTTAATTACTACTGTTACTAAGTAACATAACTACAGCTGCATTTTAGGAACTGCATAATATTATTATTACTATTGTTTTTACTATAATTGCTGATAACTGTGTTATTGCTAGTTACAAGACTTTCATTATTATTTTTTGTTTTTGCTGCTGCTGGTGTCATTAAAACTACGGTATGCCAATAGATTTAATTCTTTTTGATATTTTAATAGTTCATTAGTTGCAATTCTTTAATTCAAGTATGAATCAACACAAGTTTGCAGAGGCATATCCAGGAGGAGGCATTCCTTCATCACTGGGCTCTGCTGTATCAGAAAATGTAATGAAATTTTTATATATTCAGGTTACGTATATTGTGTGTTAGGATTCCTTTTAACCTAAACATAGCTTATGTATCCATTGCCTTTGGCTTTGTTGGTGTGATAGTTTCTTTAATTACTACTGTCACTGATTAATTACATTATTGCTAGTTATTATACACTAACAGTTAATATTATTATCATTGTCTTTTGTTGTACTGCTGCTTTACTTAACTTGAACATTTTTTGGCTGACTGTATCTACTATTTTTGCTTGATTAATGATACTTGCTATTACATTACCAGTTATTGCAGAAAATGTCAGTGAACACATTGAATTGAAGGAAGATGCTTGATAGAAGACATTATTTTGTTGTTTACATATATTATAATTGTTATTAGTAGGAAGGAGTTGTAATGTTACTATAGCAATAGTAATATTCATCACTCTTTTGATGTATGACTTCTAAAGTAACTTAACATTATTCATGAAATGCATTTTATGATCCTTGGTAACATGATACAATAACAAAAATCGCAATGTTTCCATAGCAATAAAAAACTCTTGGGTGTATGCTTGCATACAGTAAAAAAACAACTTGAGTAGTTGCTTTCTGTTTGAACTGTTTTAGCCAAGATACTAACTATTGCAATAATATGCCAGAAAGTAAGATAAACAATTGTTTGTGAGTCTGCAATATGATATACTTTGTAGAGTGTTTCACAAGGATTTGTTTTCCATATCTTAATGCCTTTATGAGTATCATTACCATTCAATGGATAAAGCCAAAAGAACAATCATCTTCTGATTTGCCTAGATATAACTCTTCATTTATTTCTGACATCAACGAAAGTATCACCAAATGCTTTAATAGGTTTTACAATGCTGCGGAATGTATTGTGTTTTTCATGACAACAGTCTTATCATCTCAAGCAGTTGCCATCAACATATTTCCTCTGGTTATGTTCATTGTTGGTTGGGCTACATGTAAAGAGGGCAGTACATATGAAATATCTGACTTGTGCTATACATTGTATTTTAATTATACCTACAGTACAAGTAGAAATGAGTTTCCTGAACTTGTATTGAGAGAACATAAACCAGGTAAGATGATTTTCTGTTTTAATAGCCAATATAAAGTCTCATTATATTTCATTATTTTCTTCATAGAGAATGATGTTAATAACAGTGATACTAAACATTTGATTCAAGAGTTTGTTGATCTCAGTAAGATATCATTGTTATTCTCAACAACAGCTAATGCAGTATCTCACGTACTGTTCATATGGGCACTGTGGTGCCTGTATATTAAACATTATGACAGTTTTAATGGTTGCTTGCTGGAACTAATGGATGACTTGAAAAACCATTGCTGTGGTGTTAGACATGGCAAGTTATAGGGACCACTCAATAAGAAATTGTGAGATGTAAAACCAGTTTTTGCTGTTTTGAAAGTTTTGCATTATTATTTCTACATTTCTAATGCAATTTAAATGTCAAAATTTTTTTCATTTGGCTTTTGTTAATTCAAAACCATAAGACTGAAAATTCACAGAAATATACAATAGTGAACCAATGTCATACTTTGCCAGTACTAAAATGAAGATGATTCACTTTAAAAAATTTTAGTATACAACTATTTGTAGTTTTGTTTACAACATTTGTTTTTTGGCTTTTGTAGTGTTCAATGTATATGCGTTTTTTGTTTTTAGTTTTTTAGTTTTAGGTTTCCACCTTGGAATCTATTGTACATGTGCGT